ATCTATCTATCTATCTATCTATCTATCTATCTATCTATCTATCTATCTATCTATCTAATGTTATACTACTACTACTACTACTACTACTACTACTACTACTACTACTACTACTACTACTACTACTACTACTACTACTACTACTACTACTACTACTACTACTACTACTACTACTACTACTACTACTACCCATATTATCATTATGATTATTAATAAATTATTATTATGATTATTATAAGGAATTATTATTATTATTATTATTATTATTATTATTATTATTATTATTATTATTATTATTGTTGTTATTAAATGTATTATTATTATTATTATTATTATTATTATTATTATTATTATTATTATTATTATTATTATTATTATTATCATCATCATCATCATTATTATTATTATTATTATTAGTAGTAGTAGTATTATTATTATTATCATTATTATTATTATTATTGTTGTTATTATTATTGTTATTACTGTTATTATTAATGTTATTATTGTTGTTATTATTACTGTTATAATTGTAATTGTTATTTTCATTAATTGGGTTTCTCCCATAACATTAAAGTACAAGTACTATGTTGCTCTGTTCGCCAAATTCATTAGCACTTCTGTTCAACTTTGCTTCCTTGCGCTCTCTCAGATAAGATGTATACTCTGATTTTGATGGATCTTGGCGAAACGGAACAGAAAGTCCCTCCGAAGAGCGCAGAGAACGACGTTCATTGGCTGGTTACAGACATCCCGGGAGATGACGTCGCCTCAGGCAATCACCTGATTCCTTATTTTGGTCCCAACCCTTTTACGAGGTAAGCATAGATTCAACAGATTGATTGCATTTATGACAAATTCAATCTCTGTCTGTCTGTCTGTCTGTCTGTCTGTCTGTCTGTCTGTCTGTCTGTCTGTCTGTCTGTCTGTCTGTCTCTCTCTCTCTCTCTCTCTCTCTCTCTCTCTCTCTCTCTCTCTCTCTCTCTCTTTCTGTGTCTGTCTGTCTCTCCCCCCCTCCCTCTCTCTGTATATACAGTGGAACTCGGATTCAACGAAAGATCTAAAAATAACTCGGTGTCAAAGAACTCATAAATGAACAAGCTCGGATTGAACGAATTTGCTTACGAGCTGAACAGCCCCCCCCCCCCCCAATGACACGGCTTCGTTGTTTTTTCTCCCTGCTGCGATCCTTATATTTTCCAAGAAATCATTTATGGCCCCTTCATTGTGAACCATTATCTATTGTTTATATCTTATTTGACCAATTAGTGGCCTTTGTTCATATATGTATTACTTCGAAGCTGTCTGTATTCGGAGAGAGTTAAACACGCTGAGCTTTGGATTCAAAGTTTGATAATGGCAACAATCGTAAAAGCTAACAGAAACAATAACAACTCACTGAAATTTAAAAAAAGGAGCTAATAAAAGAAACATTATACTCCCCCCCCCCCCCCCGGCAATAAACACGCACTTTCAAAATCCATGTATGTAACCTTCACTCCATTTTCCATCTGCTGGTGCGCTGACCTTGACCTTGGCGTGTCCTTCACCTTCACAGATACCAAGTACGCATGTACACCTTCCTCCTGTTGGAGCAGCCGAGTGCATCACTGAACGCTTCCACCTTGGTCGACTACGCTATTAACAGCGCCGTCAGCCCAACTTGTAAAGACCCGGCAAATGACAAGTAAGACGAGTTTTATAAACTACGTTTTTGTCTTTGCTCAGCATTAAAAAAAAAAAGTGTTTTACGGCGCTCGCAACTGCATAAGGTCATATGAGCGCGCGGGACACACCTAATATTTTCAATTGGTAGGAAATTTTGAAATTTGCCCGGGTGGCGGCCGAAGCCTACTCTTATCGATTTTAGACCACCAAGGGATCTTTAACGTGCGCAATTGCTCACGGGCCCTCCGAGATTTTTTGCCCTTGTCCGAGAAGGCTAGGTGTAGATCTTTCCTACCAGAAGATCAGGGGTGTGGCTGAAAGACAGCAGTAAGAAGAAACGAAGGAGTAGCAGTAGAAAGGCTGCAGAAAGAATCAAGAGCCCAAAGGAAAGGGCAAAGGAGGTGAGTGGGTGGGGGCAGAAAGAGGAGACGAAAGCAGACGACAGAACATTGCTAGACAGCAGGAAATGAGGTGAAAGGAGACACATTTTGAGAAGGAAATTTTTCGGTCGCTACCCGGATTCGAACCCGGGACCTTTTGAATCTCTAGACCACGAGAGCCCCCTATTGCTCAGCAGTGTATTGTGGGGGTAAATACCATGTTTGAAGTATAATTTCGGCTTCTATTCTAAGAATAATTTAAAAGCGCCATGCGCGAATGACGTCATGGCACTCAAAAGCGGTCGCCTCATGTTGAATGGAGACCCCCGATGTGCTTACTAGGTCACAAATGTTTTGAATGGAGAAATAAAGTCTACTTTTACTGACATGGGTATAACTTTATTTTTTCACTAATTTTGAGTTCGTTGTGCGATGTGAATGGTTTGGGCGTGGGTGGTAGGAGGTGGGATTTGGGATGTGGGGGAGGGGAGGGTGGTGGAAATGTGGTATGATGTGTTTATTCTTTTCTTTCAAACACCCCGAACCAACAATAGTGAGCCTTAATACAATAAACATTTATTATTTCCTTTTTGTAGCGTTATTCGCGGAGAGTGCATCCTA